TTAAAAGTATTTTCAAATAAAGAAATACAGAGTTTTTGTGATACCAAAAATTTGGGGGGGATTTGAAGAACACATGCGACAGAGATTCCATGGAACCTTAGTAAAACTCGTGGGAACAAATAGCCAAAGAGAAGTCTTTAAAGAAGATAGAAGTTAAGATTTGCTTTTTTTTTTTACCTATTGCTAATTTCCATGAAATTTTAGATAGCACATAGTATGAGAGAAAGCAAGAAACTGATATAGATTCATTGTTGGTGTTTAAAATGTTGAATGTATATAAAAACTGATTGATACATTCTGCCCCAAGAAAAAAAAGTAAAAGCTATAACGATATTTAAAACCTGAAATTTAAAATAAAATTTTTGTCCCCCAAAATTAAATTCTAAGCTCTTTCATAAATGGATAACTGAAATTGTATAATAAAAATTTTAAAGAACTCTTTCATAAATGGAAGTCACAATTTTATATATAAAACTTTAATAATAGGTAATTGATTGACAAAATGAAAAAAAATTCTGTTATGCATTTTGTCCATTAAAATTTAAATTGAAAGATAACAGTCCTCATATCTTCAGCATTTCTTGATGTGGAACTGTAACTGTTGTTTGTTGTATTTCATTCCCTCCCACTATATATATAGGATTTTATCAATAAAAAAACATTAGTCTGTTCTTTTGAAGGATCAAATACATGATATAGAATTTTATTTTCCATTTTGTTGTGTGTGTGTGTGTGTGTGTGTGTGTTTTATAGTAAATGCTTTTTTCACCTGTGGCAGAATGCACGATTCACACAACTGAATAATTTGTCACTCACTTTCTGTTTTCATGGCCTGATGCATCCCCACAGGTGGCTCAAGCTTGCTGGAAGAAGAGTGGTTTTATAGATTCACCATTTATATGTTTGCCAACCAAAGCTATAGAACCCAGTCTGTCTTGATATTTAAAATATAGCTGGGGAGAGGAGAGATAGATTCATATCTTTCCCAAGAGTATTTGTGTGTAAACAAATGAAATCAAACTTGGCTTCCTGATTTCTCATTTTGGGCTGATAATCATTACACCACCACGCACATCATTTGCGCTATATATATATATATATATATATATATATATATATATATATGCAAAAGTGTGTTTGTTTTTAAATAAAAAATACTGGAAAGTTTTGCACAAACCTAATATATATAAAAATTGACTCTGCATTCTGTAAAAAGTGTGACACACATACAATATATATATATATATATATATATATATATATATATATATATATAGAGAGAGAGAGAGTGCAGATTTGGAAGCATCTGCTTTAAGCTTTTTCCCCTACTTGTTAGGCATTTTTTCTTTGGTTTATTTCATGTGCAGTGGAATCATAATAGCAGATAATGAGTTTTCTTTGGTCATCATTGGCAAGCTTGTCCAACTGCATTGTCCGCAAACTCTTGTGAATCAGCAGTATGCGTAGGGTCCCATCTATGCTCTGGAGAATTCTTTTTTCCCCCATTTTGGACAGAGACAAATCAGAGAACAGTAGTAAATATGTAGCAAAGTTTTTCATATTTCATCATCCTTTTACACCCTACAAAGGGATGCTAAAATGTTATCAGCCCAATCTACTTTTAAATGACCAAACATTAGAATATCTCTTTGGGGGTCAGACTGAGCATTTTTCAACACTCTTTCATAAAATAGTTGAACTCTAATATCTTTATCAAATTCTTGAGTTAAAATGAAACAGCCAGCATGTTGATATGCACTAAGCTTAACTTTTTTATGGCATTAGGCTATAAATGTAGAGTACTTAGTGCACCTCAAACTCACTACAGAAGTCATTGTCCATGAAACTAGCTTGCTATCCATTGCATGGGGTTTGTCTGGACTAATTTCCTTGTATTTTAATCTTTTTTTGTTTTCAAGATTAAAACACATAGATCTTAACCTCTTCAAGGGTCAATCATTATCTCTCACCCTTATCTTCATAATCTTTGCTTCTTACTACCTACTCTTTCATTCATATCACACCTCATTAATCATTACCATTTCAACAGTAATAGAGTCTTATAGTGAGTGAATTCTAGTATAAAAAACGTTTATAACAAAATTCAGAGTAAGTTGCCTATTATTTACTAAGTATGGTACAAGGCGGTCAATATTGGGTACTACAGTAATAATGATCTGTGGGATAAGCTTGTTTCAATGGCCAAGTGTTCCTATTGATATTTACTGTGATTATAGTATGGCACAAGGCAAAAATAGGGAGGCTCAACAAACTTGTTACACTATACACTTGATCAGCTATATAAGTTTATTAACTAAGGATATGTATCTGAAAGAATAGTGGAATGTGTTGATACGTTGATAAAAGGACAGTCTAAACATAGGGACAAAAATACAACTTACATATATTTCTCCTGTAGAAAATTTATAAGATTTAATTTATTTTATCTCAATTTCAAAATAGAATAATCTCATTTTTAAAAAAAAAAAAAAGAGAAGCTATTTTATTTGTGTTCAATTTTCAAATCATTTATTTTATTTTCGCCTATTTTAAACTATTCTTCTGTACATCTCTCTAACAAAGACACTTGGGACCACACTTGTAATCTTGGTAAAAATATGATCCACAACACAGTAACTTCACCTTTAATCAATACACATTTAATTATAATGCCAGTACATGCACTTTTTACTTGGGACCATTATTTCAGACAAATAGTGACTATTGCTTCATGGTGTGATGTCTATAACTTAGTTTAGCCCAGTGTCTCAAGTGTTGAGCACACAGTGAAGATTGAACTTATTACAATGGCTATGGTCTAAGAGACCAACTCACTAAACACTACTTCACAGAAAGTACCTGTTCTAAGACTATGAGTACACATTCTGAGAGAAAACAAAGGCCAAATCAGTTGAAATGCTGAAGAAGATATTAGTTTAAATAATGAAATAATCCTTTCTCTCAGTTTCTCTATAAAAGACTCTTGCAGAAGTAAAGCAATATATGGCACAATTCTTCCTAGAACACACGTGCACATTCTTTCCATCTCAGCAAATTCATGTAGAACCAATATGGCATCTCACTGGTGGTTCCATTAATGTCACATATGTCAGAGAAATGTTTAAGCCAAAGATAGAGAGAGCAAATGCTAGATGATGTCAAATTTCTTGTAAGTACGAAGTCTGCCTGGAAAGTATCCAGTCATTTAATATTAACAAACAAAAAAGAAAGAAAAAGAAAATAGCCTACCTAGGGCAATAGCACTATAGTCCATTCAAAGCACTTCCTTTGGGATTTTATACTTTTATCCCAGCACCTCTTCCACTTTTCTTTCAGGATTGCCATTGTTTTTTCCATAATATTGTCTACAGCCTGAAATCTCCCCACCTCCTTTCAAGGGAGATTTTAGCTTTGGGAAAAGCAAGAAGTTACAGGAAGCTAAATCTAGACTGTAAGGAGAGCTGACAGATGTGGATGATGCAATATTTTGTCTAACAACTCTGCATGAGACATGAAGAAAAGGCAGGGGCATGGTGAATGTGGCCATCATACAGTGCAGAAACTTATTTAATGATATCTTACTTCTGACTAAGTAACCCTAGGTTTAAAATTTTATTAAGTAAACCTCTTTTGAACAGCTTGAACCAGCTGATTTTTCACAAGGAATTTCTTTGTCCTGGGATGACTGATGAGACATTTCACAATTACAGCATCACACACTGACAACTCATAACTATTAGGTTGAGTTAGAAATAATTTCTGTTTTTCGGAAATAATTGTAATGTTGAATGTATCATCCTAACTACTAATCAGTTATTGTATAGCAGTGTACACAGTGGATTAAAGAAAAAAAATGTTGTTTACCATAATAATGAAAGGCTACATAAAGCAAGAATAACACAGAAAAAATTTTGGAACTTGGTTATTTTTTTTTGTACCACCTGTATTATTCATTTGACCTTTCACCAACTGATTATTACTTTTTTGCAATCACTGAAAATGCTTTGATGGGTGAAAACTTTCTCTAATTAAAAATAAGCTTAAAAACTTTGTGTTATGGGATCTTACCCATAATAATAATAATAATGGACTATTCCATACTTAATAAATACTGTGCCTCAGGAGTAGGCAAGGAGGGAGTAGTTCAAGTCGAGTCAAGAGTCGAATCAGAGGCAGTCCAAAACAGTCGCATTCATACAATTATTGCAAGACATTGGAATAGTGAAACTGGTCGAGACTACATTGTTCTCTCTACTAAACCTGATTGTTCATATTAACACTTCTACTTCTCTGTATATATTCCTGTTTGTAATATATCTGTGTTATTTCGAACACGTGTTCAAGTTCTTCTTTATTTGTTCTACCTTGGACTATCACCGTGGTACAAGGAGCCAGACCATAACACTTTGTCAAGAATGTTTTCAAATCAAAACATGCAAAATTTTACCCAAAAATCATTGCAAATAATGGGGATTACATAATTGAATAAAATATAATTGTACATTATTTTTTCAGGAATAAAGTTGATAAATGAAAACAGAAATTGTTAATGACTCAACCTAATATTTATGCTGTACTAAAGAGAATCCAATTTCATTTTCCTGCTTTGTTTGCAAATTCTAGTTCTAGATAGTCTTACAAGATGTCAATAAGGCTAACACAAATGTGAATTAGACAGCATTGTATAAAAAACACATTTATATTAAAAAATAACAGCACCCATGAAGAAATGAGATACACATAATTCTAAGGAATTTTGTATTATTTTTTACAAATTCTTGGTTTTATTAACTAAGCAATGAATCAGATGATGATTTAAGTCAGTTTATTGATATTCAATAAAAGGTAGCAAAATGAATATATTTGGAGAAAACTGACATTTTTCATTAAAAAAATATCTCAGTTACAACTGGTTAAAAACAAAATGGAGAGCAGCAACAGAAGAACCAATCTAAGAATATTTCCGGGTCTGGAATTAATTATGGTCTGGAAACACTTACCTGCTCAGAGAACTAAAATAGAGGAATTGCTGTGCAAGCTGTGTGCTAGTGATTTGTTGGTTTCTCCACAAAGGGCTGCTGGAAAACACAAAACCTACTGCTGAACCATCTAAAGCTTGACTACCTGCAAAATATCAAAAAAACAATTGCAATTAGAGTGGTTGTTCAGGAGATAAATGTTGAGAAAAATACAAAACAGACTTAATACATTTCATATTGAACAGGTTTATCTTTTCTCCAAACAAAATTCTTTTTTAAGAATTTCCAATAATATTGTTTTCAAGATTGTAAATAAAAACAAGGAATAACAAAATTAATGTCCTGTAGCAGAATAGCCTAGTGGATTAAAGTATTGGTTTGTGAATTTGGTGACATAGTAATTATGAGTTCAATCCCACGACCAGGCAGTGTGTACTTGGACTCAGGGTGAGCAATAACTGAGCAATACTAAAAATAAGAGCTAGACAAGATATCTTTTGACAGAGTCAATGGAACAAGAAATCTACCACACAGATTAAATAAAGGCTTCTGTTCAGAATTCCCTGTAAGTTACTTAGATCAATATACACCTGAAGAAGGACAGAGAACCCAATGGCTGAAACATTGTGATAACAACAACAAAGATGAAAACAGTAGTCTAAATGTAAATAGTATAAATAAGGATAACACCTCACCTCGAAAATTCAGACAGAGAATAGGAAAATATTTAAATAAATAGATTTGAAATATGATCAGTGGAAGACTAAATGTTTTTTGGTCTCAATTTCACTTCAGACCTCAAATGGAATGTAGATATTTAATCCATTTCCAAAGATGCTGGGAAAATGGTTGGTTCATTCTATCACTCAAGGAAGTATCAAATGCTCTCTGACATGCTTTATCTATACAAGAACAGATAAAACCAAAAATGGAGTATTGCTATTATATTTAGGCCAAAGCTGCTCAAATCGTTTTCCAGCCTCAATAGGATTTAAAACCATTTGTGTGGTCTTGTAGGTGATGGACATATTTTTCACTCTACAACCTTTTTCTTACAGACACAATATTGTAAACTTGCCATTATCACTATTTCCACAACAAATGTTCAGATAACCTCCATTCACCAGTTCCACAAATTCAGACATTTACAACCATGCTACTTCCATAAAGCTGAATCACCCTCATTTTCTCTGAGGTAAGAAGAAAATTTTGCTCATACAGCTTTTCCCTCAAGAACTGCCACGTTGTGGAACATACTTCTGCAGGGATCAATCATAATTTTCCTCCTTATTCTCATAATATTCATTTTCTCCCATGTTCTCTTCCATTCATATCACACCTCATTCAACATCTTGACTGTAACCCTCTAACTTCAGTCACTTTTAACCCTTAAAAAAAACAATAAATTTAATGAACAATTTAATAAACAATAAATTTAATGAACAATTTAATAAACAATAAATTTAATGAACAATTTAATAAACAATAAATTTAATGAACAATTCCACTCAAGTGCAATTATTGCTAAATATTATAAAACCTAGTATGTTTCTTTATATCTTAGTTACCTTTCCATTTTAACTGACTGCAATATTAAAAATGATTAGGTATAAAACTGTCCAAGTAAAGATAATGATCCTCAAAAATGTTTTAAGGTGGACAATGTCAGCTAATTGTGACAAAACAATTTGCTCTTATTAAAACGAAATATCTTAGGTGTACTGAGCTGTATGTAAACCTTAATATATGAAAACTTTCATTCACTCTCATGGTTACACATAGTAATACCAAAAATTCTGTAAGGAGAAGAGAAAAGTAAAACAATAGTCATATAGTTCTATTTTAGTGATGGCTGCATTTGTAAATATAATATACGGACAAGGTTTGGGATTTTATCATGATCCGCGCATGTTACTATAAGTCCATCAATCATCATGCTCAGTCCCTTTCATGAGTGATTTTACCTTTTGAGAGAAACCAGAGGTTGCAAAAAGGCAAATCTGGACTGTAGTAGTGTGGGGTCTGATATATCTAGGTGATGTGATGATTCATCAGAAAACCCTGTATAAAACATGAAGAATATAGAGGCACATTATCAATGCAATGACCCCACAGTATACAAGCTCTTAGCTGAGTAGTCCCACAAGAGAGAATCTGTTCATGCATACATAGGTCTTTTCAGACCAACTGTTAACTTACACCAAGACTACACAAATAGTTCTTGATATATTCAAAATCACTAGATACCTTCTGCATAAACCTCATATATATCTATATTTATCTATATGGATACATACATATAATACACAAGTATGGATACATGAACATACAAAATGTGATATTTAAAACAACTAAACTGACAACATAAACAACAAAAATGTCTCTGAAAATGGCTAGTGTTAGTTGAAATTTCTTATAGGAAGATATAGTTACAAATATAAACCAGAAATCAGAAAAATGTTAGTAAATATTGAAAAAGTAAATGATCAAGAAACTTTTGTTGATTTTTAAAGAAACATGCATAAATGAAAAATTACTGTCTAAATACACCCATTTCAAATATATATATATCAGCCAGTTATGTGCCATGTGTGATACACACTTAGGTGATCATGTATCTTTCGATACATGGCTGACAAGGCAGATTTTTTTTCCCTGCAGTAGGTTGCCATTTCTTTCTGTGGTAGACCAGCTGCTATCCAAGGCTATAGAACCCAGTCTGTCCTACTATTTATCCTTAGCTGGGGGGAGAAGAAGAGGATTCATACCTTTCCCAAGGGTATTAGCACGTAAGTGAACGTAATGGATTCGATTTGAATTCGAACTCGGCTCTCCAATTCCTCAATCTAAGCCATTATCCATTACTCCACTATGCCTCCTCTCTCTCTCATATATATATATATATATATATATATATATATATATATATATATATATATGTGTGTGTGTGTGTGTGTTTGTTTGTTTTACGCGTGAGATTAGGACCCCATTCACACACTTGGGATTAAAATGTATACATATTGTCAAAGATATAAAATTAGCTTCTAAAGTAACTTCAATGAAGAAATAAATTGAATAACATATATATTTCTTCTTTTCTCCTCAGTAATTTTATAGTTGTAAACTTAATAGTGATTAAATTTTGATTTTGAAATTAGCAGTTTTTAATTTTAATATTAAATTTTATCATATAATTTAGTAATTATTGGTTAGAATAAATTCTTTTTTAATATTACCCATATTTTAAACATCTGAATAGCTATTATAACATGACTTCGTTGTCAAGCTTTTTGAATTTTCCTATACTTGTATTTTGATTGGTCAATCTAGCTTTTGTAAAAAACGTTTTCCCCTTGCGAAGGATTGTTAATTAATTTGAAACTTTTAAAACCATTTATTTTACATTCAACATCATCACTTGATAAGACACCGATGGTGTTGAAACAAAATGGCTATTTTTGTAGTGATTTTATAACATATTTATGTTATAAATTTTTTTAAATAAATAATTATATATATATATATATATATATATATAGAGAGAGAGAGAGAGAGGCATCCCTCGATTAATGAATTTTCAATTAGTATGCTAAAATCTTTATATACCAAAATTCGATTAGTGCATACATAATACTTGATTAGTGCAGTAAAACATTCTTCATTTTAATCATAATAATTGAAAATTGATTTTTTTTATAGTTACCAAGGTACAAGATAGCTGCACTAATTGAGGGTTTACTGTATATATAAAGCATACATCAGTTTCCGGTGACTATGAAGTATACTATAGTAATGAGATATTCCTTGTTGCAGACAGCTACTCAGGCACATTGTGTTTCTTCAACACAGACAGAGACAAGCTGTGGTTTTTATTGTAATTATGTGGAGCAAACTTTATACTTTCTTGGAAAGCATGATCAGTAGCTGAACAAAACTTGTGTTTAAACCCTCTGTCACAATGTTTTCTAATTTCATGCTAATACAACCATTGACAGCATCTGAAAAGTTTAATCTACCTAATTTCAGTTATAAGACTCAAGTTAAACTTTGATATGTTTTTCAGGCACTTCCCAACAGTTACATGTGCTGGGATTGTCTCCCCATGCCAGTATTATCAAGAAGTCACTACATTGAAAAATTGACCATGGTGGGATTTGAACCTGGGTTACATGGTTGGAACACTAACATTATAACTACTTGGCCATGTGCCAGTATATGGTACTTTCTGTATACACCCAAAAATCTAAATCACATATTCTCTTTGTAATGACATCATACTGTATGCCATTTCATGCATATATTTTTTCTACAAAGGACTTTCTATGAGACAAACGTATTTGGAACAAATGATAGATATATATATATATATATATATATATATATATATATATATATATATATATATATATATATGGAAAATATACTCAAGTTGTTTTTCTAACATTGTTGATTTTTGAGTAGTGACTATCCCTTCTCTAAGTAGACTCTCAAGCTTTCTTGTTTTCTCAACTAAGAGTGGGGGTGGGGGAATTCGTCACACAATTTTTAAGTGAACATTTCTGCTTTTTTTTTTATGTATATACAACAGAATCTTTCATACTGCTCCAAAAAGAAAACTAAGAAATAAATAAGGAACAGTTTGAAAAGAAATTAAGTTTTAATGTTTAAAACAAGAAACAAACTGATATGAAAACTTTTGTTAATTTACAGCAACAACTACAAAAATAATTACTAAATTAAAGTATATTCTGAAAAGTCCCTCCCAAATTTACTCAAGGTATAATTTCCATTAATTTGTGTGTAAAAATTTGATTTTTCCAAATTTGATATACTTGTATGCATTTTCATTTCTAGTCTTTATATTTCTGGCAGATTTATTCAAAACTTTCCATAACTATTTGATAGTACAAAGAAAGCAAAGAATGAATTTAACAAAAGAACTGCTGTTTTTTAGAATTAACACCCATGTGGATGCTTTCCCAAACACTTCAATATTAACCTCTTCAAAACTAGAGTCAATTATTATCTATCTGCCATATCCTTATAATCTTCACTTCCTAGTTCCTCCTCTTATGTTCAGTATCACACACCTCATTTAGTAATGCTCTATCTTGAATGGCTCTTGGGCTTTGTATTGGGTGAATT